CCTGCACCGAAGTGGAGTGTGCTGGGAAGGGTGGGGAAAGGTCTGTGTTCTCCCACCTCCCAAAAAACATGAGGAAGTGATGTGCTTATGAGATGAGGACACTTTGAGTCATCTGAAAAGCCAAAAGACACCCTCATTCCCTTCAGATGAGGTACATGAGCCCTCATGACAGAGCTCTTCTTTGAAATCACAAGCATTTGCAATCTCACTCCTGTGCAGTTTGCACAATGGCAGGCAAGACACAGGCTTCTTGTAACTGCAGTTACACTATTTTTCCCAGACTCTACACGTTATTACAGTGTTGTCAGTCTTTGGAATTTACTGGCTTGCTTGCTGAATCCACAGGTATAACCATTTCTCACTTCCACTTAGAAATCATGTTTCCCTTGTGCTCCGTAGACACTTTGTGTTTCTCGCTACTGATGAGTAGCAGCTTGAGCAAGGATTGTCCCTGTCTCTCCTTGACTGTCTCTCGGTCTCCAGCAGCGTAGCTTACAAGCATCTGTCCAGAACATCTTTTATTTCCATGGTTCTGAGGCTGGTGAGGGAATGCTGTGGCTGTTGTAGACGTTGGGGGGTAAAACATCTTGGCAGGAGTGGGAATTCACCCTGTGGTCCCTAGATCAGGGGTTCCTCTCTGATGTAGGAGTTCTGCGTAGGCTTGTTTGTTGAGTATCACTTGTGGCTGTGGTGGTAGGCACTGGTGCTGATGGCATTGGCACTGGCTAATGAACCACTGGCAGCTCTCGGATCAGTCACACTGAAGCCAAATATTCCTCTGAAAACAGCTGATGGGCCAGCAGTGGCCTGTGTCCTGCAGTTTAGGATCTGCCATCCATGTGTTTTGATTCAGCTGTGGGGTTTCCTTTTTATGCTGGTGTCCATCCTGAGAAACATGAAAGGGAATTTGACTGTAGGGGAGGATAGTGGTTTTTCTCGTGTGTGCACGTGTTTGCCTCTAGAAGGTCGAAAAATACACAGTTTTAAAAAATCAACTCTTTCGGATGTCTGAATTGCATTAGATTTCTCCCCATCCAGCTCTCCAGCCTGTCCAGGTCTCATGGCTCCATTACAGATCACTTTTCCGTAATCCCGATGTCGGTGTAGGACATCCTGTGACTGAGGTGGTTTCCTAGCTTGAAGAACAGCAACATAATGGCCTATTGAGGGCAAAGTGTGGCATTGCATCGTTTCATGAGACACTGTGGTGTCAATACATACAGTTGTGATCTAAGTCGCAAGTAGCACAGCAGAAAGGTGACAGTTGAGAAATTGAATTTCAGCTTTCTACACACTCTGACTGGAAATGTAACAGGTATTTCAACACTTCATAGAAGCTGAATGATAAGAGCAACCTCTAGGATGGGGAGGAGGGCTCTGGTTTTTACCTAAAGCAGAAGGCTGACAGTTTCTCTTGTTTAGATAGGTCCCAAGGAGGAGTTCCAAACTCTGATAGTAACAGAAACAGAGGGAATTAAAGCAAAAACCTGTAATTGATAAAAATGGTCTTCCTCTTCTGCCCAACGGAGCTGTTGCTGTCAAAACAGGATTACAATCACAGTGATTTGAGGTGACATTACTGTTAAGTTTATTACTTTAAAGCCATAGGCAGAATGCTTTCTGGAACTTAACACATAGCTGATACGTTAAGGTAATAGTGTTATTTAAAAGGATTCTTGCCTGGTAGCCCAATTCCCTTGTTCTTTACATGCTCTTTACCCTGTCACCAATTGTGACTGGTTTGAGTTCCTTTTAAGAGTCTCCTGAAACAAACTTCTACCATACGAGAGCAAAGGCTGAGACAGTGAGCAATAAGTGTTTAAAAGATAAAAAAGACACCCAAAGGGAAAGTTGGAAATTAAAGGTTTACGTATTTTTAACAGCCTCCATTTTAGAGTTCTGTAGTTTCTCAGCTGCTTTATTTTCCTGTCATTACTTGGACTTCAAGTCAGCAATTTACCCATCAAAACAAACTGTCTAGTTCACGAACAAACTGTCTAGCTCTCAAGAGAGCTAGAGCCAATTCCCACTAGAGCCAGTGGAAAAGTTTTCATTGAGTTCAGTGGGTTTGGTATCTGGCATAAAAGAGAATCAAAATTTTCGTGACAGGACATGTTAGGAGAAATAAAACAAATGCAGAATACTTTTTGCTCTCTGAAAAAGAAAATGGACACAACTATCAAGTTTCACTTTTTTCCCCTGCATTCCATAATGTTGTTGTCGTTTGAAACCTACCTGAGGCCAGTATAAAATGCTCTTTGAGGGGGAGCACACCCACCAACCAGGTCACAAAGATAGGGTTTTTTTATTTAATAGGTTTAATTAAGGCTTGGTATAGTAATTTTTCCAAATTTTTTTGTAGTTTAGAGCAAGATGCATTTCCCTGCTATTCGCTTCTGTTTATCTGGACAAGCTTAAAAGCACTGGCTGTATAGCACTGGAGTCAGGGCAAATAGAAAATCACATTTTGTCAACCTAATAGCTGTTGATGTGAAACATGGTGGTTTTCTTCCAGCACTACATGAAATTCTGAAGAATTAAGTCTCTTTCAGGTTTTTGTTTGTTTGTTTTTGGTTTTTTTTTTTTTGAGGAGTTATTAAAGTAAAATTTGTACTTTTTTCAGAATTTAATTTATTTAAAATTTTTTATATGTAGATTTATATATCTGATGAGTAAAATATCCACTGACCTGGGATTTCCCATTGCTAAACACAACTGACCTCTTGCTGTAACAGGACTTTTGATGAACTGTCTATAAATTCATTTGAATTCCTGACTTCTCTTGCAATTAAGATAAATAACAGACATTTCAAACCAAAGCAGCAAGTCAACGCTGTAAGTGAAATGTAAGTTTTCCAGCTGAACCTGTTAAACTGAGGGTGTAAAATTAGTTTTTTGAAAAATATAGAAAATCTTCATCCCTCTTTGTACCTGTAGGTGCATTAAGAATGTAGGAAAACGTATCCTCATAACTTGCTTTGTTTACAAATGTTTCGCTGCCTCATGAGTGTCAGTCATGAGTGTCAGTCAGTACAAATGTTTCGCTGCCTCATGAGCGTCAGTCAATTGTATTTTTATTTTCTCCATCTGGCCGCTTCAGTTTTGTGACGGTCCTGTCCCAGCCAGCAGAAAGCAGAGGTGGAAAGGCCGCTCGGGGCACGGGCCAGAACTGCCCCGAGGCTCACCTGAAGGCGCACTTCGCTTTGTGGGAGACGTGCTGCCTGGTTTTGCTGACCTGACATCGCTTCCCCACGCAGGGAGAGGGGATGCGGTGGTGTGAGACACGCCAACTGGAGAAATGCGGTTTCTTGCTGAGCTGGCTTTTACCCGGCACTGATCTGAGCCCAGATGGCTCATTCCCCAACTGCCTGTCCTACTAACCAGGGGAGGAACTCTGTCAGGCGTCTCCTTTCCCGTGCAGGCTCTACCTCCACCACCTCAGCTGAAGAAGTCACCACCCTCAGCTATCTCCTCTTGCTGGAGTTGATTACTGAGGCTGCTGAACATCGAGTTTGCTCCAGGGTGGTTGTTCGCAGCCGTGTGTAGACAGCCGTCTCTGTAAATGTCCGTGATTGCACCGAGACCGAGTTTCGAGCTGCGGGAGCAAAGCAGGGTCGCTCCTGTTTTCCATTGCGTCTCAGCTGCAGCACCACAGGCACTGAAATGCAGCTAAATCCCTCATGGATGAAGCCCCATGGTGGCTTCTGGAGTGATCCTACAGGGACTTGTTCCACCAAAGCGTACTTTGGGGGACTCGGAAAAGCCCGAGGACAGCGGTGAGGAAGCAATACAAACAGGTGGTGAAGCTTGTCAGGTGTTTTTACTGCTCTGCTGCCGTTTCGGCTGATGTGGGTCAGATGCTGTCAGGGTCTAGTTTCGCAAAAGAATGGTTTGCTTCAGATGTTCTTTAGCGAGTGTGAAAAGTGTCATGCGCCTCCTGTAACTCTCCCACCTGCTCCAGAAGGGCCAAAGACAGTGCTCACAGCTTTACCTTCAGGTAGTGTATTCGCAAGGCTTCATGTTTGGTGATTAATTCCAATAAAATGCTCGTGTCCCAGTGTAGCATCTTGTTCTTCTGGTTTCTCTTCAACCATGTTCCTAAAGGGAGAGAGAGGTGGATGTACATTTTGTCCTTCTTGTGTACGGTTTCGGTTCCCTGACTTGCGGTGCTGGTTTGGGAAACACTATCCAAGGCATTAAACTTGGGAAAAAAAAAAAAAAAAAGTATCTTAATGAATTTTACAACTTCTAAGTGGTGAAGTGGTGAAACACATTTAATTAGTTTTGCTTCTGAAAGAAATGCCATGATTTAGGGCAGTATCTGTTCATTATGTTCCCACCAAGTCTGGTGAAGGGGCAGAGCTAGTGGCAACAAAATCTGCGATTAAAACAGGGTGCGTTGCCTGAAATGTGAGATAGTTGCCCGGGAAGGATGGTTGACAGAGACTCAGAGGCTGTAGCTGCCGACCCTCTCTCTAGGTGTGTGGCATACGCAGCAGAGAGGGGAATTTCGGGAGCGTATTTGTTACGGGACGCAGAGCGCTGTGCACTTCGCCTGGGAGCTGATCTGTTCTGCAGGCTTCTCATCTGGTTTGTGTTTTGTTTTGTCTTCATCTTCCCCTTCTCACAGGCTCCTCGTCCGGTGTAAAGATGATGGGTGGGAGCAAAGGTAAAGAATGATGTAATGCAGCGGCGGCCAGAAAGCCTCTTTTGTTGGGATTGTGCCATGGCTACTCCATAGTCATCTCCCGATGCATCAGACGTGAGGGGCTGCTTTGTGGAGCGAAGCCTTTGTAACGGCACATCAGCTGGAAGCAGGAGGAGACGTTCAGTGGAAGAGCTCTCTCTGGAAATGGGTTTAACTTTTCTTTTGCCAGTCGCTACCAGCATGACCTCATACGCTTCCAGCACAATGGTGTGGCTAAGCCTTTGAGTACACAGCCATTACATCACCGCAGCCAATTAGAGAGGGAGGTGCTGAAAGAGGCCTGATTGTTGTCATGGCCGATGAGATGATCAGGACTCAACACATTGTCGCCGAGAAGTTGGTGGCTTTGCTGGAGAGCGGTACAGAAAAACTGCTGCTGATCGATAGCCGCCCCTTTGTGGAATACAATACATCCCACATCTTGGATGCCATCAACATCAACTGCTCCAAGCTTATGAAGCGGAGGCTGCAGCAGGACAAAGTTTTGATTACAGAGCTCGTTCAGCATTCGGCAAAACACAAGGTAGGGGTCATTTTCCTGTTATTCCTTGTAATTTTTTAAAGGAGTGCTTGGAAAGCAACTTGTAATAGTTTTTCTTTAGGTATTTCATTTAAAAACAATAAAAAATTTGGGGGATGGAGTTTTGCTGAGCTTTTACTTGATTTAAGGGGCTGTTGGATACTATCAGGTTTTGGGATTCTTTGTAGCCTGCTCTCTCCTAAGTGACAGAGCAATGGGAAGGGGTTTAGAAACTACCCAGATTTGGAAATTACTCAGAAAAAATGCTGTTGGCATTCTTGGAAAGCGCAGTCCTTTAAATGTATGGAATTAAGACAGGAAACATTCTCCTTCTAAACTTCGAAGGATCCGTGGTGGCGGGAATTGCTTAGCAAATGGTCATGCAGTTTGCAAAGAAACTGGAGCTCAGTCAATCCTGGCTCCTACTCACTGTTGAAAATACTTTTTGTGTGAGTAGTTTGATGGGTTTTCGGCTGTGGGGTTTGTGTTTGGTTTTTTGGTTGTTGTTGGTTTGTTTGGTTGTTTTGGGGTTTTTTTTGTGATGGTGTTACTAGTGAAAAGAAAACAGCTGAGCTGTTTAAACTTAATGTGCATCTATGTGTTTTGGTTTTTAATCCATTGGTATTTGTTTCAAATGTTTCAGTTACAAAAGTTATCTATTACATTCTTGCTTTGACATGTTAGAAACTGAAACCTTTTGCTTTTAACATTAATAATAATTATTATGTTATTACTCCTATCTAAAGCATATACTATGCATAAAGTTGTAGAGATGGGTAAAATGTGTGTGGTTTTAGGCAGCTTAATGTCCCTTTATTGTTCATACAGAAGAAATCCAGAAGCAGAAACTGAGGTAAGGCCTTCTTTAAAAAAAAAAAACACCTTAGTTTTTAAACAAACCAACCAACCTAGCTGAAGGGAAAGCATTTTACAAGGGACATACAATTACCTAATGGTAGAAATTTACTGTGTGGGCGTCAGCTTAGAGCAAATAACCAATTTACAAATTCTGAAAGGAATTAAATCTGATCAGACACATTAAGTATAAAATAAAAACTGGTTTGCGTGCGGCTACATAAGAAATCTGTATATCTGAACTGCTGCATCTCAGCTATTTGGGAACCCACATGCAGGTGATAAATTGGTGCTTTTAATCATCTCCCTCCTTCCTATCTTATTCAGAATTACTTGTGTTTCAGATTGAAATCGACTGCAAGCAGGAAGTGGTGGTGTATGACCAAAGCTCTAAAGACGTGACCTCTCTCTCATCTGACTGCTTTCTTACTGTGCTCCTGGGCAAACTGGAGAAGAATTTCAGCTCTGTGTATCTGCTTTCAGGTAAGATGCACCAAGGAAGAAAAGCCGAAATGCTCAAATAAGGAGAAGAAAGGAAACAGTATCATTATAGCTGACATGAACACAATTTTGCAACAGTGCTGGTGTAAAATTCAGTTGTTAAAGCTTTTTGTGTAGCTCTTTATGCCTATAGTAACACTCATAATACATATAATGCTTGGCAATTGTATCTTGCAGGGGATATATTAGACCATTAGTGCTGTGTCGATGGAAATTATCAGCACAGAGTTTTTTGGTTGCCTTTGTGCTATTTTGGGGTCAAAAATAGTCAAGGAAATGTGCTTCCCTGGTCTTTGAAGTATTGTACGTGATAGGAGGAAAATCTCTTCCTTGCTGAACTGGTCATCACTACAGACTTAGGGAGATGGTGTGTGGTTTTTTTTTTTTTTTAAACTTAGCTCCTTAAGCAGCAGTACGTAATTTAGATCTTCTCCCTCATCCCCACCGTATCCTTCCCCTGCCCCCACCCCCCCAGTTTTATTTAAAATCCCAGGTCAAAGCATCCATAGAAATGCAAGTCCTTATAATACAGGATTTGTTGGTGTTAACGTGTGCTTGTGTTATTTCTGTCATGGAACAGTAGACCCAGTGTTCACAAGAAGGAACGAGGAGGGGCATGAAGTAAACCCAGGCCTGAGAGTGGGGATGACGAATACAAGTAGGAAATCCATTGCAGTGACTCGATCAGTGATCTGATGAAGTGTATGCTCAGTCTCTGAAATCTTAAAAGTACAGCCGGAGGCTGAATAATGAGGAGGAAAAGGGGAAGAACCCCAGAGAGATGCTTCCTCTTGGCGAGGTGGTTTCACTGAGGTTTGTGGGTGACTTCAGATGAAAGTGATAGGGAGGTCGTCATGTTACTGACACAACTTTTCCCAGCTATTTTGAAAGTGAGCACAGAGAAAAGGAATCATTTCTGCACTTGGACAGGTGCGTTTGCTGCTCAGGTGAGCTGTACTAGAAAACCAGTAGTAGTTAGAAAACTGAAGAAGGTTTTGCTTTAGCTTTGATTGATGTTTCCATTTTCTTTGACCTCTTGGCAAGAATTGCACCTGTGGTTTGTGGACTGCAATATTAGGTTAAATAACTCCTTACATATTAGGTTAAATATTAGGTTAAATAACTCATATGAGCCACCAAGTCAATGTGTGGTGGTGTCTGTGCACAGTAAATGCTTAATGTAAGATTGCTGAAACATGTGTTTTAATACTCCCTTAAATTTAAACCTGTTATTTAAAAAATAGGCCAGTCTAGAATCAGTTCATACCTCTTCAGAAATCCTTTTATTGTTTGAATACCCAACTCTGCTCATCTGCCCTGAGATTTTTTTAATAACCAGAAGCTTTCTACAGCTCTACGCAGCAGTACAGACTCTTGGCAACCTCATTTCCCTGGCAGAAAGAGGCACGGCTATCTAATAACCAAGAATTAGACCTCACGGCAGGGAGGGGTTGGGCGGCGATGCTTGGTAAAGCCAAGCAAAGGAGAGCACCACAAAACTTCCCTTCTTTCTAATGTCCCTGTATGGATGAGTTGTGTCAGACATGGCTTTGATCTCCTCTTTCCTCTGCTGGACCCCACGAGCTGGCAGTGTGCCCTCACGGCCAAGAAGGCCAATGGCATCCTGGGGTGCAATAAGGGGAGCATGGCCAGCAGGTCGAGGGAAGTTATCATCATAATCTGCGCTGGTGACGC